TATGTATGTATGTATGTATGCAATGTGTGAAATTGAAGGTTTGTTCGGCATCAGACCTAGAAGTCATGCAGATGCCAAGCAGTTGACATCAGCCGCGACCGACGACTGATGGCTCAAGCGAGCAGCAAAACATGAGAGCCGTTGCCAGTGCATTCTGGAACTGGTAGCGGAGCGGCATCCGGGCGACACCTTTGCGTTACCCACCGCGTGCGATTGCCGCCGGGACTTTACTGGATGGCCTTGGCTTTGCCCACTTCATCGGTGACCAAGATGAACCTGGAGGCGCTGCGGCCAGGGAAGGTCACCAAGTCGTTTCAAGATTCAATGGAGATGCCTGTCGGCTGTCTGAGTGGACGTTCAGAGTGAAGATGATGGCCTAGAATCGAAGAAAAAAAGAGAATGCCCGAGAACCGAGCAGACGACGGCCTGGATTACCTGATCAAGGCGATCTCAGATGATCTGAGGCCAAGGAGGATGCAGCAAGCTCGGGAACTGTACGAGGCCGGGGCACAGTAGGGAGGGATGTTGTAGGAGTCGATGGTGCCGTTCATCCTCCGGAGAAAGGCTGGCACAGGGCAACGACCGACTGGTCGTCGGACCTGAAGCTTCGCGACATCGTCCTCATCGAGCAACTGCTTCTCAACAGTGGATTGAGTGAGGATCAACGGCTGATGATCCGGACTGTGGTTGGAGGTAAGATGAGCTTCGACCGCATCGCCGAGGAGCTCGTGAATCAGCACCCTCGCATCCACGAGAAGGCAGCCTTTGGATGTGGCCAGTTCCGAAGGAACGACTACAATGGGTACCAAAGGCCGGGAATCCCTAAGGGCCGAGACAACGGATACCAACACCGAGAAAGCCCCGCTACCATGCCGCGTTCTGTGCTGAGGAGGACGAGATGCTGAGCTACCCCGATGTGCGGGACGAGCACTACCACGAAGACAATCACGACGGCGCGACTGAGGACTACCAGCTGCCGACCGCGAGACCTACGGCTATACTTCAACAAGCACGAGATCGGCACGCACGCTGAGGAGCATCTCGCATTCCTCACGGAGAGCGGCATGGACATGGAGGATCACGAGGCGTGCGATTTCGCGTCGGAAGTGATCCAAGCAGAGCAGGAGGCCTACTTTGCGAGAAAGGGGGCCCAAACAAAAAAAGGCCTAGGCTTCCGGGTCGATCTCTTTGGATGACAAAAGAGCTCGGCTACGGGCTCTGAAAGCACGGACAACATGCAAGATATGCGGAGCTGTTGGCCACGGCGGCGGCGACTTCGAGTGCCCGTTCTCAAAAGGCAAAACGAAGCGTGGAAATGGTTATATATACGTTTGCGTGTGTATACATATACACTGGTTTATTCGCATATAATGTGCCGGTGATAGTTTGGCCCTCCTGCCTCGCTGGATTCAAAGCTAGCCGTCCGTTCCTATGTTCAGTGAACCACAGGACAAGCAATTTTTGATTAGATCTACTCAATAATGCCTGCAGTCACTGCAAAGCTCTTTTGTCTTTTTGCCGTCACATGAGTTCGTGCACAAACCCTTCCACTCACAATGGTGTACATCTCGGCTCATTCAGAGCCCTGTGTAGACGATAGCACCAAGTGCATACGGGTGGATCTGGCAAGCAGTGGAACAAAGCCGCAGCCTTGCCAAGTGTTTTCTCATAATTTGGTATGTTACGAGCGTGAATTCCCCACCACGAAAGCATGCGAGGAAGCCTGGGCAAATTGTACAGGATCCTGATGTTTCCATTTGCGACCACACGGAGCCGTACACACAGTTTCGACATGAACCTGAGAGATTTTGCGGTCTTCCATCAGGCATCGCGCCCTCGTGCCAAAGAAGTGGAAACATTCGGCTTGGAAATCTTCATTGAGGCAGGTTCCAGTTTGACTCCGAACTGTGCCTCTAGCGCGCTGCAAGCAGGAGCTCATGGGTAGCCCGGTCGACTGCATTGATGACGAATTCCAAGCAAGGCTGAGGACGGGGAATTGCCGGCATGAATGGATAGTGTTACCGATGAGGGATTTCCGCATGTCCCAGGAAGTGCCTCCCGGAGCTTGATCCAAAGCTGGGTCCGCACAAGGTATTCGAGCAGGTCTGCAAGCTTTGTACATGTCCCCTTTGTCTCATTGCATGGCTCTGCGAGTGCACAAATCGGGAAGTGGCAAGCTACAGTTTCCCATTCCGCGTCTCCGGAAGGATGCCGAACGAGATCGTGCTGAATCTTCCTGTCTTTCTGTTCTGGCACTGCTTGCAAATCGATACGACACCCGGCAGGCTTCTGCGGCTGTGAGCCGAGATGTAGTGAGATATCGGACCAGAGACCCACGAGCCAGCTCTGTGTTTCTTGCAAACTCAGCATGTCATTTCGCTGAATCAAATTCTTGCGTGAACCTTGCTGCCTCAAGATCATTTATGCCCGCACGTGACTCAAAGGCCTTGTTTGAACTTTGCCGTACGGTGTTGGATGGAAACGCGTGCCCGCGAGCGTCGACATGCTCTCCCAAGCAGTTTACACAAAGGTAGGAGGCAACGCATCGGGGCAAACAAGAAGCCAGGAGGTTCTCGGCCCTCAGCCAGAAGGCGCATGAGCGCATGATTGTGCATCAGGCTATCAACAGGTATATTGTTACGGAATGTTTCTGCAAGCATGGAGAAGCTGCCTACATGATCTGGACCGTTTTCGACGCTGTTCTCAGTTGCCCTTGCAGTCGGGTGTTTCAGATCCAACCCACGTCAGAAGCGCAAAACCTGCTGCTGACTTGTGCACGCAGGGGGAAAGGTAGCAGCTGTTGTTTTCTCCAGGTTCTGCCTTTTGCTTTTCGAAGCTCTTGCTTATTCTCTTGACGATGTAGCGGTAGTTCCACTGTGGCTCTTTCTCTTACAACTTGACGTTAGATGACACAAGAACCTGGCCTTATGTAGCGTCGCTCATCTTTCTTTGATGAATGTCGTTGCATTGGATAGCCGACGCATGGAGACCATGTTGGATCCCTGATCGAAACTGAAATAAGGAGACATTCACGGCACCACAAGGGGCAAACTCCAAGCTACTCGAACGACAGTGGCGAGATCTGCAAGGCATCATCCGCTGGATTGCTCCTACAACTGAGCAGGCCGGAAGATGGTTAGAAGAATATGCGTGGCACACGTGCATTTAGACAAATTTGCCAGATGATGTGCGATTGCCACACCGGCTCTTGTTCTGTAATAGTGTATAGTAGCCATCCGGGACTGTTTTCAAGGTGCACGGTGTCCTGGTGTTGCTTGCCATTCGAGCCCTTGGCAAAAGCAAGACCGTGCTCCGACAGGCAGGCGTACCGTACTGAGGGTACCGTTCCTCCTCTGCCTTTCTGCGTGGAGGTTCCTAAGAATGCCCGACGGCCTGAAAGGGCCATCCTGTATCTTATTTCCAGTTGGAGGCTCAGTGACTCTGTCCTTAGTGATGCTTGGCAGATTGAGATTGTGGACCAGTGGGCAAGCACACACACTGTGCTCCAAAGCGCTAACTCGTAAGGAAGTTGAGAGGCTCCATGTTAAGCTTGCCACCCTTAGCTGAATCCGTTGTAGCTGCAGCATGAAATAAAAGGCAGCAGGGAGATGCTTTCGAGAGTCAGCCAGCGTCCGAGTCCGAGGTGAACAGCACGTTGTGCCTTCAGTCCGTTTTCTCAGCGAGAGAGCCAATTCCTTTGTTCAACAAGCGCTGGAAGTGCACGAGAAGTTCAACTTGGCACAGAAACCTGTCTGAATCTGAATCAAACCAGTGTTGCTGTGTATGCTGGCCTGTGGAATGATCAAAATGCGAATGCTAAAAATGCCACCCTCGGGCCCTCGTCCCGCGTGGGTGTGGCGGTTCTAAAGATTCTGAGAGCCCTGTGTGTCGCGCTTGCAGGATGCTACAAGGCGAAAATGTTCCCGGCAGTGTCCTGATCCTCCAGGATGTCATTCAAGACCTGGATGAGGATGGAGAAGATGCGTCTTGGCAGAGACTGGGTTCTTCGGACTTCGCTGGATCGGTGAGTGTAAGGGTAGAGCATGAACAACAAGTTCTCCCCGAGGTCTTCCACTTCTACATTCTGTTCCTCCTCGGCTTCATGTGTGGGCTGGCAGGAGGAAGCGGCTCCAGGCTGCCCGGCTGCAGCTGTTTGTCTTGTGGCTGCTTGTTGCCATGTTGTATTGAAGCGTGGACCTCTCACACATCGCCCGATTTCCGGAACGGTCATGTGAATATGGGAGCACACAAGGTTCCTCGACAGCAAGAACGCAGAAGGAGCCCTGGCGGCTTTCATCACAAGCTTGCCGTGGCTGAGTGGGTTTGGCTGATCTAGTACAAAGATTGGACCAAGTCCATTCTTCAAACTGCTTGATGTTATTCACAGATGTCCGCATGCTGGGCTAAGGAGTCATCTCTGGAATTCGCATGCTGCAGCAACTTCTCAATGGCACCCCACGGGGAATCTATTGGGGCTTTCTCAGTGCACCTCACCTGCAGACCTGCCTTCTTTGACTGGGGGGATTCCCGATGTGATTCAGTCACGCTGAGCGTCTAGCCGCCCGTCGGAGTGTGCAGCTGGCTGGTCCTTCCCGAATACATCCACCACTGCACTCCAGCTGTCGCATGTTGCGCAATCGAAGTTGCAAATTGTCAGGCAGAAGATGTTCGAGGTACTACTAGGTGTGTGAGAGTTGAGTGAAAGGCCATCATGCTGCCGGCCGGTTTTGAGCAGTAAGTCATGGCCAGTGTCAGCATTCTTCTCGGTCCTTGTTTGCGGTGCACCCAGGCTCGTGCACAAGCCCTCGGCTTGCCGAAGGAGACAGCTGAGGACTGCTTGTAGCCACAGCGTTCTTGGTAGTAGTACCAGCTGTGGTCACGCCCAGAGCTTGACCTATGGCGCGGCAGGATCTAGTTCTTGTCCGCATGGCCTGCCTCGCGCGTGTCACCGACGATTCGGGCTACATCCAACTCCGGAGCAGCTGGGATGCTTTGGGCTACTTGGCCTGGCAGTGGTAGCCTCGTAGTACTGGCACGATATGTCAAGTCATGTCAGTGGCTTTCTGGGTTTCAGGCTTCCGTGAGAGAAGCATCCTGACGGAGCACTTCTTGGCAGACGGCATCAGCGACAGAGCATTCATTTTCGAGTTTCTTCCAGCTTGCGCAGCTCGAGCGCACCCGTTGTCAGTCAATGTCGCAAGGATGGACTGTTCTAGACCGCACGGTGGACGGTTCCACGTAGATTTGATGGAACGTTTCCAGTCCTCCCAACCTGGAGAGGGCAGAGACTTGATAATTGACTGCTCAAACGGGAACTGTCCTTGAAGATCTCCTGCAAGCTGCAATCTGAGCTCGCTGCCGAAGGTAAACCATGCCCAGACGAACCCGATCATTGGTCTTACACTGATGTTGGAGGCGCGACTGCCACGCCCTGCAAGCCGAAGCGTGCGGCGCAGAGCCTGACATGTTCCCGCGGACGAGGTCCTCGTGGATCTTCTGAGCAATCTGGCCCTTGCTCTTCCCGACTTGGCCGTCAATCCAGCTGAGAAAATGATTACTGTGGATCTATCAGACATGAGCGAATTTGCATCTCGGCATGTTCTGGAGTATCTGATCGGCCAGCGGGGACAAGCCTCGACCTAGGTGGCTGTTGTGCAGAACCGGTTCGTGTTCCAGACTTGCATGGCGCGTTCACGGCCACCAAGCTCGATATACTCCTGCATCCGTGCCTGAGCGTGAAGTAGGTCACTGGCTCGCATCACCGCTCTTCGTGAGGTTCAACAAGGTAGGGCACCGCCTCCGAGTGGAGATGACGGGAGGGAATTGGGCCAGAACGAGTGATGTTGATTCGGACATGACGACACTGGCCTATGGTATCAAGGACAGGATCTTCTTTCGTGTATCCAATGACATTGCTTGGATTTGCTTTGCTGACTGCCTAGTCAATTTGGTAAGCGGAACCCATCGGTTGATCTGAAGAATCGATACAACACCATGCCCTGTCCTGTGCAGGATGTATTCATGCGGCAGCATCTTGTCACTGACCGCTGTAAGCCACTGCGAACTCGGACGTTTGTGTCAGTTCAATTTCAGCACGCTCCAACATGCATCTGAGGCAAGCCTTGGAATCCCTGGTCAGGCAACACTTGCACATGACAGCGTTGGACAACTACAAGGATTATGTGCGGCGCGAGAAGTACTAGTTCTTTTGGGACAGAGCTCTTGTAGGTCAGCCTGTGCTCAAATCCACAAATCACGACAAACGAGAGAGTTGAGTGTTTCTCATGGCCGCCCGATTCACAAAATTCCCGGCCTGCAAAGCAGGCACTAGACAGTCTCAAAAGGGCTATAACAGCCAGCCCAGGTCCAAACCGAGTGTTTCACGATCAGCCCCCTGACTGTGTCATGTTGGGCTGTCGTCGTACAAAGTTACCTGCACGGTGTGGATCGTTCGGGCGAGTTGAAAATTGGTTTGCTCGCTCGGTGGCCTGTGCTCCTGGACCAGGTTGCCGCACATGTGCACATCCGTGGCAAGTTTACTAAATCACAGCTCGGCCACGTACCCTCCGCCCGGCTTGTCCATGCAATGAGTGAACCATTGGGAACGGGAGACAGAGCATCGAATCCTGGCAGAAAAAGGGCTGGGATTTGGCGTCGCCATACTGACTGCAATCCTGGCCGTGGCACGTGACCCTGCGAACATCAGAGGCCCATGCTACGGCATCATTGCTTGTTGCGTGATTTTGAAGTCGATATGTTCAAGCGTGTCGGGGAGAGCCTTTCGTCTCCATGAATCGTTTCCCAAATCACCGCAAGCAAAAAAAAACTAGGCTAACTAGGCAGTTTGTTCTCGGCGACATGTGGTGACCTGACCTGTATCATCTCACGCGTGAGAGACTGCCGCGAAGTCTGCCCCTCACATTTCACCCGACAAAAGCTGGGAGGGTTTGCTCTGGAAGCTGGGCATCACACACAGCTCCAGACATACTGTACGAAGTTGGAAACATCACGGCTGACACAGGAGCATCTCGAAGGTCCAAACAGCGTGCCACTTCGTCCGAGGATCCGAGCGACTTTATGTCGAACATGCATTTCTGAGCATGCTGACAAGGAACAGGAAGCAGCACATACTGTACCGTACTGTTCAGACTAGTGAACTAGTGTCGGTGACGGCATGGATCTCCAGAGGTGTGGGTCTTCTTCGTTTTGTGGCACTTCCTGGGTCTGTGGAGAATCAGAGGTCAACACATGGTGAGAGACGAAGTAAATTAAATTATTCGACGACATCAACAGTCTGAATCTGCGAGTGCATTGCGGATTGCGGATTTCCCCGAAGCCAAAGAAGACCCAGCCGCCATTGCTAGCTTTCTTCGGAAAGGCTTGGGACGCGAGCTAGAAACTCTTTCGCTTTTGCAGCTTGTTGCCTAGTCACATGTTGACAGTGGCGTTCGCCATCAGTGAGGTGCCGCGCTCAATGCAGTTGGAGGGATGTGGCTAATTCACACGGACACAGGTAGCTGTGAACATTAAGCCTGTCATCCAGTCACTGCTACTGTTCGTTAACGATTCTCAGTCGCAAGCAAAGCAGTTGCAACTTGATGCGTCACGAACTCCATCTTAATGTAACAAGATACGATTCCGTCGGACAAGACATGATCGCATCTCATCTACAGCAAACGAGGTATGAGACAGCAGAGCGATCACTCTCAAAGCACTTTCGCAGCAGACCTTGACGGCACACACAAAGTCGACTTTTGCTGACAAGCTTCCGTCATGGCGCCGCCTTCTTAGTAAGATTGTGCTAGCTTGAGTGCGCCACACTGCAAGCGGGAAGCACGACCAGTGGCAAGGCTTGGCCGTTATGCAATTGTTGCAGCGGCTTCTGCGAGTGCTGGCGTTTATGTTGGGACCGAGAAGGACCAGATCAAGGCTGCTTATGCTCCTTGTCAACATGCTGGCAGAATTTGGCCGAAGGCCTTTGGGAGTCAACGGTGCTTCGAGGAACCTGTTTTTGTCTCTAGTTGCGGCAGTACTCGATTAGCGAGAACATGATGCTTGATTCGGACCGCTTCGTTCACAAAGCTCCCCCGCTCCCTGTGCTGCGTCACGGGCATTCCATGGGTGCCGATCGTGGATTCCGAAGTGACGTTTCTCATTAGACTTGCTCTTGTGCTTGCGCTTCCAGATCTGGCTGTTGCCGCTGCTTGCGAAGTCACAGCACGTGCGCGCAAGACCAAGACCAAGACCTGTCCATGTTAGTCACGATAGTCACGCCTGAGAGTGCCTGGGACCTGGGAGTTGCTTCAGCCAGGCTCCGTTAGACAACACACTCAGCGACGGGCTTTGCAGTCCAAAGGAAGGAAAGTTTTGTAGTTGCAAGTCCGCAGAGACATGCTTTCCCAGAATCCTGAAATTAAATTGAGGGCAACACCACGCTATAGTCTAGGGACCATGTCCTGGCATGTTCACTTTTTCAGACAGCCTGTCCACCCAGGCGAAAGTCAGAGGGATGTTCCATGGCAGCACCATGTCCTTCAGAAGTTGCGTTCTTGACATCCGCAACTTGCGTGGTCATGCCAACAAGCTCTCGGTGCCGAGGCTCGGCTTTCGGCCTCAAAGCGTGGATCTTGCAAGTTCTGCCGCCATCTTGGAGGACCAGTGATTCTGGGGACGAAAGCCGGCTCGATCCTTCGCCGGTGGAGCCTTGCAGGGTCTGTTTGGAGGGCGGCGGTACGAATCGTCAGTTACACCTAAAATTTTAATTTTTGGGAAGCATTACTGGTGGTGGTGGTCGTCATGGTTGTGGCGGTAGTAACAGAGGTCCTGAAGGAGAAGTGGTACTGGCCTTCCGTGTTGTGGAAGTGGTAGTAGTGGCAAGTAGTGAGAGAAAGATACTGAGAGGTAGTAGTACCCGTTTCTGGTTCCCATCGTTTACCGCAAGATGAGGACCTAGTATTATCATGAATGTCAAACCGTATCACTAAGACATATTACTGGTATTGGTAGTGTTTGCAGTATTCGTTGTCTGTGATTTCAGTCCTACTACTACGACTAACTACTGCCACTACGGCTGCTGCTGCTACTGCTGCTACT